GACCAGATAGATTAACGAACATCTGTAAAAACAACAAGCCGTGTAGCAGAAGACCCGTTGAAAGGCCGCCAAAAGGGTGTAAAGATAATGTACAGTCAACAACGACGGAAACAGAATAAGAGGCAGAAAAACAGTAATAATGCTAGTCGCACGAAGAAGAAGAAAAAACAGAGCGTATTTAATGATGCGACAGGGGTACAGATCCGGACAAGTAGAGAAGGACTATGAATAACTATGTAAGGAAGAAAAGAAAATAGAACTAGAAGAAGAACTACAAGATCTAAGTAAGCCAATAGAGAAAAAAAATTTTTACCAGAAAAAATTGAACAAAAGCGAAAACGAATTCAAACAAAAGAAGTAAATAGATAAGGATGGTTATCGATTATCAGAACAGCAAGAAAAACTAAGAAGATTGAATTAAGACCGAAAGAGATCCTAAATGAGACTGAAAATGTTCGTTTGTAATTCTCTATTTAACGTTTTTTATAAAAATATTGTTTTTAATAATGGGTTCTTAATGTGCCATACGCTAAAAAAAAAAATAAATTCTCCGCTACTGACAAGTTTTTTGGTAAAACTCATACGATACGAGATAACGCGTATGACTCATTTCATTATTTCTTTGCGGGAGCGTGTGAAATTGCACTGCAAAGAATGCGAACCTAAATTTATATGTATAGACGGTTTTTTCGATAGTCACCATAATTGTACTGTACTCAAGTATGGTAAAAATTCAGATAGTACATGTATGACGTATGTGTACCAGTCTGTCCCAAACCCTTCTTTCAGTGAGTCACTAATTTTGACGTCATATAGGATTTTAAGAATGTCGAGAATTATTGCATAACATTTTAGTTAAATCTGACAGTTGCAGGATCGTAATCTACTAAATGTGGAAAGGTTATTTTTTTTAAATGTGGGGTAAAAACTTTAAAATTCCAATTTTTATTTAATATAATTTCTATTCTATACATTCCAAGGAAAGTGCTTAATTAGCTAAGATTTATTTATGGATTTATTATTATTTATTACAAACACTATGAAATTGGAATGTTTGTTTATTTATAATAACGCTTAAAATAACCTAGAGTCTTTTAAGAGTCGACTGCGAAATAAAAAAAAATGGCAATTGCAGCATCAAAGCAAACATTCCTGTGATCACATAGCATCGATTGAAATCATTCATATTCGAATAAGTAATTTTCAGATTAGTTTCTGTGGCAGCCAATAGTTTAATTTGGTAAAGATTTATCATTAAATAGTGGAAATAGTTTAAATAGTGAAGCAGTTGATTTTTGATTATACCAGCTCCGGTATGCAGATGAAAGAGTGTTAATGGAGTTGAGTAAAAAAACAAGACACCGAATTTAAGTTTTGCTTCTTTTTTTATGAATATTATATTTCAAACAATCCACAATTCGATTCAGAATCTGATTATCTGCAATGGTCTTCAGAACCGCCTTCAGAATGACCCAGGAATGTCCAAAGCTTTTCTTTCAAATGGGCTTCCAACATTATATTGTCTCATAGGAGCTCTCCTTTCTCGGTAAGGCCCGTTACTCGTAGCACAAATCGTACATTTCTTACACCAGTCCTTTACGTCGTAGGAACTGTTTATCCAATAAATACGTTCCGGAACCCGCTGAAGGGTTTTCTTTACACCGAAATGCCCTTCTGATAGACTGTCGTGTAACTGGCGAAGTACTTCGGCTATTCTGCTCTTTAGGATCACCAACTGTCTTCTCTTCTCTGAATCGTCATCATTTTCCAGTACTAGTTTGAGCAAGCTATCTTCCATGATAAATGAGTCCCACTGGGCCCAATACCTCTTAACTACTGAGCATAGGTTTGATATTTCTTGCCAAAGTGGTTGATGGTTTTCCTCTTTCCATTTTCGAATTTTCTGTACAACTGGATCTCTCTCTTGTTCTTTACTTATCTTAGTAGGCGTCCAGTCGTCGTTGACCATCGTCGTTCTTAGCATTGCTTCTTCCTTGGATTCCGTTTTGTTGTAGTGAGAACACTTTGCTGGGCATGGCCTTCTGGAAAGAGAATCAGCGTTTCTGTGGCTAACTCCGGCCCGGTGCTCAATCTTGAAATCGTATTCTTTGAGTCGTTCGATCCATCTGGCTATCTGACCCTCTGGATTCTTAAACTCCATCAATCACTCAAGGGCGGCATGGTCGGTTCGGATTAAAAACTTTCTTCCATAGAGGTATTGATAGAAGTGCTGTACTGATTTCACTACTGCTAGAAGTTCTCTTTTTGTGACGCAATAATTCCGCTCAGGTTTATAAAGAAAATATCCAAGAACTCGTTCCTATTCTCCTTGAATCTGATACAGTACTCCTCCAATTCCCACATTACTTGCATCTGTATCTAAGATGAACTCTCCTTCTGGCCATGGAAACCCTAAGATTGGTTTTGTGATTAAATGCTTCTTCAAGGTCTCAAAGGCATTTTGGCAGTCTGTATCCCAGCGGTAATCTCTTGCGTCCTCTGTAAGTCGCGTTAATGGCTTAGCGATATCTGCAAATTTCTTAATAAACTCTTCTTAACAAACCTGTAGTAAGTACATAATCCAAGAAAACTTCTCACTTGATGTTTGTCGGGTGGTTCTGGCCATTCCTTAATGGAATCGATTTTTCCTTTATCCACAGTCACTCCTTCTTTACTGAGTATATGACCCAGATAATTGACTTTACCTTGAAATAGCTGGCACTTCTTGGGGTTTACCATCAATTGGGCAGCTTTAAGTCGATTAAAAACGTTTTCTAAATTCTTCTGATGATCTTCAAGATGTTTGTCAAGCCTCACAGGTATTTCTTTAGCCGAAATCACCAATTCCTTTCCAATTATAATTCCTCGGCCAACCTAGTCGTCATTGTTCCAAGGCTCCATCATAACAGGTGTCCACAATTCCCTGTAACCTCGCTACTATGATCGTTTCACTTCTCGCAGGCACGACGGTATCTTCGTTAACGGCTGCTTGCATAGTGTTGTCATCATTTGAATGAAGAAATACCTCCTCGTTACCAATTTTGATTGCCTTATTCTTAAAATCCAATTCCTAATTGTACCTGGATTTCTCCATGAATGTTGGCATTTTCACCTATAGCGGTACGAAGTCGCAACCTCGTTGGTAACAGTTTCTTACGGCTGTTTATAACTGTCAGACCTATAATGATTCTGGTCGTTCCAGTATCCACCAACAACGTATCCCTTTTACCATTTATTTCTCCAACTAAATATACACTATCTTCACGACATTTCAAAGAAGGTATTAGTATGAGAGGGTCTTCGGAAAAGTTCCGGGTCGAAGCTACTTCCCTAAGGCCGACCCGTTTTAGTTTTCCTGACGATAAGTTACTTGATTTACGTCGTACCTAGGGTGCTTACAGGAACTTCGTACGTGTCCTATTTCGCCACAATTCCAGCATCTTATGGTCTTCGTTTTCTTGTATGTAATACTTTTCATTATAGTAACGAGCTGGTCAAGTTTATATTCATCTCCTTCCTCTTTTACAGTTCCAACTTTACTGTACCCGCCAGAGGCCTGCGTAGCTGACTCGTAATCGAGGGCGGCGGATAAGACATCAACAAGCGTCTTGTGACGAGCTAACCGCAGTGTTCTCTGCATTTTATGATCACGAAGACCTTCAATAAATGTTTGAACGGCCAATTTTTCCTTCATGTCTTCGGGAGCTGTTGGATAAGCATATCGTACTAATCTGGCAATATCTACCTCGTATTCTTGAAGAGCCTCATCTTTCTTTTGTCTTCGATTTTTAAGCTGCGGTTGATATACATGCTCTAAATGTTCGTGGCCGTATCGCATATTTAACCTTTTCTTAACCTTGTTCGAAATCAACCGTCTCCTCTACGGCTATGGTCTGGAGCACATCTAAGGCATCTCTTCGAGGAGCTATAGTCAGGTTTACAGCCTTTTCTTTTTCAGACCATCCGTTCGCTCTTGCAGCTGATTTGAACTGTTTCATGTAGTTGTTTCATGCCGATTTTCCGTCGAAAGTTGGGACTTTACCATGAACAGATCTTCTACTTCTTTCAGATTTCGGCCGTGTTTCCAACTTACATTTCGTCTCGTCTTCTTTTGTCTCTACTGTAATTGGATTGTTTCCTCTCCCTGCTAAAAAAGAGATTTTTTCTAGGCAATTATTAACAATTCTTCTTTTTAATGTACTATATGGCTTCTTAAGAGTTACCTTATAGTGAATGCCTTTTTTACATATGAGAAGTATTTTACTTCCAATTTTAGTTTGTTGTAATTGTCAACAGTATAAGTTAAAACACTGTATCTATGTTTTATGTTTTATATTTATGTGTATATTAACTATATTGACACTATATTTTTTTCTTTGGCTTGTAAAAATACTTTTGTATTCATTTATTACCAATAAACCATTTATCTATCTATCTGCTTTTCTAATATTTTGTAGCCAAATTGAATTTGTACAAAATGTGGATGAATTCATTCTTTAGACTTTCCAAATCATATTTGCTATTTTTCTGGTATACTAACATCTTTACAAATGTTAAATGGTGGTACGATCCACAATGCGCTTCTTAATACACTTTTACGTCAAAAAATTTTAGATTTAAGAAAAATTAGATTTTAGCGTTGATTGAGTAACCCAAATGGGATTTGGATTATTCAATCAACGATTTTAGTAATGTCTGGAAACAGCAGGATGAGGTATATGTCCAATGTCGACAGAAAAGCTTCTATTTGAAAAAATATTTGACGTTTTAATTATGATTATTATGGTCTATGAAGTAGATTTTATTATGTCTTATTAATAAAACAAATAGTCTAATACGATCCTGTTATGTACATCGCTTTTAAATTTTGCATTAGTTTTCCCTCTAAGACACCAGGGAATATTTTTTATTAGTGCGCATGTTAGGCGCATATATTTCTGTTCTTCCTGAGGTGTCTGTCAATTTGGCGATCGATTAAAATCACATCGCTTGAAGCAACAGTTGGTGAGAAGCTCTTCCTAGTTGCAACGTAGTTCCAGGTTTTCTCAAAGTACTTAATTTGGTGACTAAGACGTAAAGTGAACCGAGATAAAATGGCTATAAGTTTTATACTACTAGGTAAGATATTTTAATTTTTTAAAATATTTTCCTTTTTTTTATTCAACATTTTATTGTTTATTTATTTTTATTAAATAATTAAATTTATTTTGATTTTCACAATGATTTTGGTTGTACCTTTTGAATATATTTTAGTTTTTTTTTATTACGATATTCCAGGATTTGTTTGTAAAATATTCTGTTTCTTGTACCATTTTCTCTTCTTGTATGAATTCAGATTTTCTTTAGGCAACTGAGCAACTTTAGCAACTTATAGGTACATAGATTGAAGAATTCTCGCTTGATCCTTAGAATCCTTTTTTTGTTGCTGCTTAGTTTGAAATTAAGGAGTTTTCGTCTTCTTAGCTCATGCAAGACCTTGACTAGCACCTAGTCAAGTTCCTTTGTAACCAAAATCAAGGAGTATTTGTCGTGCTCTTCTTTGAATTCTGAAACAAGTTCCGAATTTGGGAGTGGTATTTTAATAGCTATAGTATACATATCCTGGTGTCTTCTATAGTGTATTATTTTTTCTATTCACCGCACTTCTTAAAGAGCTGTAATGTCTAATTTATATTTCGTTAGATATCCATAAACTATGCAAAACTTTGTTTTTTTGCTTTGATATAAGGTTCATACATTTCACATAAATACTTTTAGGTCATTTGCAACCTGTGAGGTCAGGGACTTTTTTCTTCTGGATGGTATTAGATAATTTCAGTTGGTGGAAGCATTTGTATTCCCTATGCTGTTTTTTTGCTTTTAAAATTCTGCTTTAATTTTTCCTTTTTACGAAAGCAGGGAATATTTGTTCATATTGTGTATGGCAGGCGTATTAATTTCGGCTTCCAGAAGCCTTTGTTACATCATTTGAAGTAATAGACAATGACTAGCTCTTCCTAAGTGCAAAGCGGTTCCAGGTGTTCACTTAGAGTACTTAATTTGGTGACTCAGTAAACTTTATAACATTTATGATTCATGAATGATTTATCATATGTTGCTTTGTCTTTTGTATTATTTATCTTTTTGTTTTATTTAAAATTTAACAACGAATTTTATGATTTTCTTTATTTTTTTTAACAAATCTGTTTCGTGTACTACTTTCCTTGTAATCAATTCAGTCTTCCTGTAGGCGATACCCATTTCCAATTGGTAGATACCTTTTTTCCAATTTTCTGTAGTACATTTTTTTACAGTAAGTTTTGCAGCGTCTGTTGCTGGGCCAGCATTTTTGAAAAATTATTTAAAAAAAGTAAAAAAATATTGTTTCTGGAGTTGGTGTATCTGCAATTTTGTTTCACTATATTGAAATGTATCTACGATTATTTGGTATTTAAGACTATTAATGTCTGAAGTGGCAAGATGTCTTATGTTTCACTTTATTTTTGATATAGGGCTCTAATTCTTTGGTACTTGAATATGTTCTCTTTCATACATGAATCAATTGGCATAAGTTCTTTTTAAATGTCCAACATTCAAGGCTGAATATAATAGCTGATCTTGTGGCAGTATTGTATAGTTTTTTCTTCAGTTTTCTATGCTTCTACATCTAGTGGATAAATTTTCATTTATTTCTCCATTACTCTCTAATATTAATATTTAAAACTATTAATTTTCACAATCATTTCGTCACAGTTGCCATTTTGTTTTTGTACTGGTAACTACATCTACAAACAAATACTCAAAATACTCAATTTTTGTCGTAGTCCCTTTCTAAAAGAGGAGTAAAGCCAACTGCCAAGCCCTTTTGTTTACCAAAAATTCCAACTCCTTGTTGATACTATTTTGCATTTGCTTTTAAAATCCTGCTTTAATTTTTCCTTCAAGACAGCAGGAAATATTTTTTTCTTATTATTGCGCATGTCAGGCGCATTAATATCGGTACTTCCGTAAGACTCTGTCAATTAAACGACGAATTGAAGTCACATTGTTCGAGTCATAAGTCGGTGAAAAAAGCTTTTCCTAGTTCCAACGCAGTTCCAGGTGTTCCCATACAATGTTTAATTTGATCACGCAGATACAAAGTGCACCAGTTAAAATGGCTATGACTTTTATAGTATTAGGTAAAGTACTCTTTCTAAAATTTTGGATTAAATATTTTCTTCCTAACTAAACTTTGTAATGTTTTTTATATAATAACAAATTTTGATTTTAAAAATGATTTTGGTTGTACCTTTTGAATATTTTAATATTCAATATATTTTATAAAATATTTTTAGAATTTCTTTGCTTAAGGCAATTTTTGATTTAGGTATTCATCATATTTTTGACTTCTTCTGATAAATCTATTTATTTGTTCTACTCAAAATTTTACAAAGTATAGTATGATTTTTTTATTCTTTCTAAAAAATTTGTTTCTTGTGCTACTTTCTACTTCTATTCCTGTATAAATTAAGTTTTACTTTTGTCAACGTCCTTTATACATTTGGTACTTTTTTCCAGTTTTATCTAGTACATTTTTTCGGTCGTTCAGCATTGTTAAATTTTGCAATGTTTGTTTCTGTTTTTTGAGACAGTATTTTAAAAAAGTAAAAAATTGTTGGGTCGGGAGTTGGTGCATCTGCAATTTTGTTTCACTATATTGAAATGTATCTACGATTATTTGGTTAAGACTATTAATGTGTGAAGTTGGTAAGATGTCTTATGTTTTGCTTTATTTTTGATATAATACTCTAATTCTTTGGTACTTGAACATCTTATATTGCATACATGCATTCATTATCTTCAGTTCTTTTTAACTGTCCAATATTCAGTGCTGAATATAATAAATGAACTTTCTAGCACCTAGTCAAATTCCTTTGTACTCAAAATCAAGGAGTATTTGTCGTGATCTACTTTGAATTCTGCAACCAGTTCCTAATTTGGGTGCGGTATTTTGATAGCTTTGGTATACATATCCTGGTGTCTTCTATAGTGTATTATTTTTTCTATCCACCGCTATTTTTAATTGCTGTAATGTCTACTTCGTATTTCGTTAGATCTTCACAAAGTACCCTTAACTTAATTTTTCGCTTTGATATAATCGTATATTCCAGATGAATAATTTTAAGTCATTTTTGACTTGTGAGGTCAGGGACTTTTTCTTGTGGATGGTATTAGATAATTTCAGTTAGTGTAAGCGTTTGTATTCCCTATGTTTTTTTGTACTTTGATTATAAAATTCTGCTTTAATTTTTACTTTTTACGAAAGCAGGAAATATTTTCTCGTATTGCACATGTCAGGCGTATTAATTTCGGCTTCCAGAAGCCTTTGTTACATCTGAAGTTGGTAAGATGTCTTATGCTCTACATTATTTTTGATATAAGGCTCTAATTCTTTGGTACTTAATTATGTTCTTTTGCATACATGAACCCATTGTCTAAAGTTCTTTTAAAATGTCCAACATTCAGTGCTGAATATAATAGCGGATCTTGTGGCAGTGTTGTATAGTTTTTCCTTCAGTTTTCCATACTTCTACATCTACTGCATGCATTTTCATTTATTTCCCAATTACTCTCTAATATTAATATTTAAAACTATTAATTTTACAATAATTTCGTCAAAGTTTATTTTTGTACTGGTAACTACATCTACAAACAAATACTAAAAATACTCAATTTTTGTCGTAATCCCTTTCTAAAAGAGGAGTAAAGCCAACTCCAAAGCCCTTTTGTTTACCAAAAATTCCTTGTTGAGGCTATTTTGCATTTTCTTTTAAAATCCTTCTTTAATTTTTCCTTTAAGACAGCAGGGAATATTTTTTCTTATTATTGCGCATGTCAGGCGCATTAATATCGGTACTTTCGTAAGACGCTGTCAATTAAACGACGAATTGAAGTCACATCGATCGAGCCATAAGTCGGTGAGAAAAGCTTTTCCTCGTTCCAACGCAGTTCCAGGTGTTCCTCTACAATGTTTTTTTTGATGGCGCAGACACAAAGTGCATGGGGTAAAATGGCTATGACTGCTATAACATTAGGTAAAGTACTCTTTAAAATTTTGGATTAAACATTTTCTTCTGTACTAAACTTTATAACATTTTGTAATGTTTTTTATCTAATAACAAATTTTGATTTTAAAAATGATTTTGGTTGTACCTTTTTGAATATTTAATATTAAATATATTTTATAAAATACTTTTAGAATTTTTTTATATTGCTTTGTCTTTTGTGTTATTTATCTATTTGTTTTATTTAAGATTTTACAATGAATTTTATGATTTTCTTTATTTTTTTTAACAAATCTGTTTCGTGTACTACTTCCCTTGTAATTAATTTAGTCTTCCTATAGGCCATATCCTTTTCCATTTGGGAGATAGATATCTTTTTTGTCTTATGCTCTACTTTATTTTTGATATAAGGATCTACTTATTTGGTGCTAGAATATCTTCTACTTCATACATGCATTCATTACCTTTAGTTCTTTTTAATTTTCCAACATTCAGTACTGAATATAATAGCAGAACTTTCTAGCACCTAGTCAAATTCCTTTGTACCCAAAACAAGGAGTATTTGTCGTGCTCTACTTTGAATTCTGAAACCAGTTCCGAATTCGGGTGTTGTATTTTGACAGCTATAGTATACATATCCTGGTGTCTTCTATAGTGTATTATTTTTTCTATCCACCGCACTTCCTAAATATCTGTAATCTCCCTTTGTATTTCGTAAGATCTTCACAAAGTATCCTTAACTTAATTTTTCGCTTTGATAAGAAGTTCGTACATTCCAGAAGAATACTTTTAGGTCCTTTTCAACCTGTGTAATTAGAGACTTTTTTTCTGGATGGTATTAGATAATTTTAGTTGGTGTAAACATTTGTATTCTTTATTCTGTTTTGTGCTTTTAAAATGCTGCTTTCATTTTTCGTTTTTACGAAAGCAGGGAATATTTGTTCATATTGTGTATGTCAGGCGTATTAATGTCGGCTTCTAGAAGCCTTTGTCGCATAGCTCGAAGCAATAAACAGTGAGAAGCTCTTCCTAGGTGCAAAGCAGTTCCAGGTGTTCTCTTAGAGTACTTAATTTGGTGACTCAGATATAAAATGAACTGGGTTAAAATGGCTATAACTCTTATTTTTACTAGGTAAGGTACTCTTGTTAAAATTTTGGATTAAATATCGTCTTCTTTGCCAAACTTTATAACATTTATGCTTCATGAATAATTTATCATAATGTTGCTTTGTCTTTTCTATTATTTATCTATTTGTTTTATTTAAGATTTTACAACGAATTTTACGATTTTCTTTATTCTTTTTAAGAAATATGTTTCTTGTACGACGTTTCTTGTAATCAATTGAGTATTTACTTACCTTTGTTTTCATTTGGTACATACCCTTTTTTTCCAATTTTCTGTAGTAATTACATTTTTTTGCAGTAAATTTTACAGCGTTTGTTACTGGACCAGCATTTTTGAGAAGTTATTTAGAAAAAGTAAAGAACTGTTGGTTAGGGAGTTAGTGTAACTGGAATAATTTTGTTTCACTCTGTTGGAAAGAGTCTACCATTATTTGGTTAGGACTATTATTGTCTGAAGTGGGATTGATGTCTAATTTTTCACTTTATTTTTGAATAATGTTCGAATTCTTTGATATTTAAATTCATTGTCCAACTTTTTTTTTTTTTGCTTTTGCAGCATTTTTTTAACTGAAATATTTTTAACTTTACCCTAATAAATGTGTTGTCATTGTTAGTGGCGAACTGGTTTATTGCACTTATATGTTTCAATGTCCTTTTGGCAAACCTATTTCATTCCTAATTCCTATGAAAAACCTGAAATTTCAGATGGATCTTCTTCTATTACTGTTGTGGCCTTAGGCTTTTTAGATTTTGTCAAGATCTGGTCAAACCTTTTTTGTATCATAGAAGCTTCTCATGTATTGGTCATAAAATTCAAATGTTGGTGTATATTTCGATTAATGCACTGGGAAATAAATGATCTCAGTCATCAAGGATTTTGGATTTTACTTTAGATGCATGTCATTTTTATCTTTACCAATCTTATCCCAAGTTTAAACCTTCTTTTACACTATATAAGTAGCATAAACCAATCATTAATTACTAAACTGCAGTATTCCTGTTATCTGACCGAACACTATAGAGAAAAGTGTCTACCACAAAAGTATCCACATACCAAAAAGATGCGCTCAAATGAACTGTATTTTTCCCTTTTTCTATAAAAGTTCCTGTTTTTTTTTAATTGTTATCTATTTTACTTCACAGGACTTCTTGTCTTCAGCGCTGGAGTGCTCAACAGACCAAACGAAAAGAGATGTGCTCCAAAATATTTATTCGGTAAGTCATTAATACATATATTTACTTATTTTTATTTGGTTAATTTAATACTATTTTAAATATTATACGTCTTATACAAGTTTTTAAATATAACTCCTTTTACTATATATTATAATCATTGTCATGAACTGCATCCAATACACTAAAATTACAGCACAAACCTGAGAAAGACGGCATTGGAGTTCTTCGATTTTCTTTGTTACAGGTTGGTATCATAATTTTCAGTTTGTTGATCGTTCCAGTCCACATTGTGGTCCACAATTGCTTGGTTCTACAAGGGACAGTTAATTACTCAAATTCTAACTATTATATTAAGTTAAGCTTTCTCAGTTCTAACAGGAGTTTTTCAAATTAAATCCCAGTCCCCATCTAAGTTATACTGTAGATATGTGTATACCTAGTTTTCTAAGAGTTGCTTCTAATTTTTATATTAATCTTCTTCTTTTTAATTACAGGGTTTATACAGTGTTCGTTTCAATTTTTTTATTGTTGAGTTTCTTTTTTCTTTCCGATTCAGATTCGTCACCTCGATTTATCATAAAAGTATCTTTATCTCATTTAAAACCACCGGCATTATCCAAAGACATTATTTAAAATAGTTCTTCTCACGGACCCAATCATTATAGAAGACCTATTGCACAAAAAACGATGAGTTTTATTTTCTATGCAAATTTTACAATTCTTAGATTGTGTATCTATCTCTCTCTGTTGTCCCATTCTCCATCGTTTAGGTCTCCCTGACTCATGGCGTCGTGTACTTCGTTCATCCAGGATCTTCGTGGTCGTCCTCTTTTCCTCCTTCCTATGGGGCTCCATTCGGTTATTCTCTTTATCCATCTGCTATCGCTAGTCCTTCTTACTTCCTATATGTACTAGTATGTCCATACCACTTTAGTCTTTTTTGTTCTGTATATGTTACTATGTCTGTTTCTATTGATGTTCTTTGCTTTATTTCGTCATTACTCCTCTTATCCATTCTTGTCACTCTGCAGTATCTTCACAGAAATTCCATCTCTGTTGCTACTATCTTACTGCTGTTTTTCTTGTTTATAATCCAATTTCAGTCCCATATGTCATAATACTTGCACTAATGTTTTATAAATCGGTGTTTTTGTCTTCATATTTAGGTGTCTACCCACCATACTGAGTTAAGTTGTCGGATTGCTGCCCTTGTTTGTCCTAATCTTTGCTTAATTTCTTCCTCTGTTGTTGCCTTTTTCGTGATTATGAACCCCAAGTATTTGAATTTATCCTTTCCTTTGATGGACGTTGGATTAATTCCATAAACTTTGCACATATGTATGTTCTATCTTTTGTTCGTTTTGATTTTGTACCCTGTATTTTTCACTTGTACCCCAGGCAGGGGCCCACACAGGGTGCTATCAGCCGGGTCAGCCGAGTTTTTTTAGAGGTGTTACTCCTCTGACCCTGCTCTTTTATCCGGGCTTGCGACCGGCTGCATCGGTTATAGAGCTACTCAATTCACCCCATACGAATCCAGCCAGAGTTGTATAGCTTTTTCAAGACCCAATATTTAGTTCTGATTTTAGCAATGATTCGTGCTATTCCAATATGTCCATAATGCTGATATACCAATGCAATAATATAATTTCCCATTTCTAATGATACTAAAATTATAGACTTTTTTTTTTAATTTTTAAATACTAATCCTAGCTTATATTTTATTTGTTTTGAAGATTTCACTTTCAAATTTACTCTTTGAATGAAATCATTATTTTTAAAATGTTTACCCTTTTTGAAATAATTTTTAAAATGGAGATAATTAAGAAAATTAAATCTCCAAGGATTTCGTCAGTTCTAGGTTTTGTTTTTAAATTTTCCAACGGTTTATCATTAGAGCAGACTAATCATCTTTGATAGCATTACATTTTATATAATAATAACAATAATAATAATAATGTTTATTTACTTTTATTATACAATATAATAGAAATATTTTGTTCAAAACAAGTAGTTGTTAGCAAATAAACAAAGAAAAAATTCCCAGATGAACCAGATGTTGTGCTCAGTGATTTATATAAATAATATAAAAAAAGGATGTAAAATACTATCTTCTTGTAACTAAATGTTGCTTCTATTTCTTTATAGGTGGCTTCTGAGTATAAATACAGGTTTTCTAAAATCATATAGATAGATTTTGTTTTGAACACAAATAATCTTTTATTATGTTCAATGCTTGCTCACACTTGTCAGATCATTCAAATTGAATCCATTTCTGTAGCAAAATATGTAAAGTTTCAAGTTTAGCAGTTTTATTTTCGATATACTTTAAATAAAAAAAAATTTTCGCTAGGCTTTTCAAGAAACTTTATTATGTGAAATATTTTGTCCTATTTGAAATAATTAAAATATCATCAATGCTGGTGCATTCTTTAGGTCAAATGGAAGGACTTTTAACATACATTTTCCATATTTTCTGGACTAAAGGATATTTCAACAATCTTTACATCTATTATTGTGTTTATGAAGGTTTCTGCTTCAAAAAATTTTATTGTATGATCACAACATATCTGTTGAAAATCTCTAATCTTCAAGTATGTATTTTATGTTCCTTATATCTTTTAAGATATCTATAATAACTTAATTGGTCGTAAGTTTGGACAACATTGTGTTAAAATTTCATCTATCGAAGATTTTAAATTTTGGCTTATTGAGTTTTAACAATATTGCATAAATCCAACATATTTTATTACTTTCTTAAATAATTCTTTTACCCGCCTTCACAAAATTTGTCCTTTATTCCATGTGTGTTTATATATTTTTCCGATTGTTTGTGTATAGTTTGAACTGCATTCTTTATGTATCTTTTACTTTTCCCTATTTTGGTTACATATTTAAATTAACTACAGTATTCTTTCCAACAGAGCTGGATACGTTGACTGATTCATCCATATCTGACTGCAATAAGAAAATAGATATGCTCAAGTATGTTCCAGAATTTACCGAAGGTAAGCGTATTTTATTTTTTATTCTTATTCGTTTTGAGTTTGTACCGGTATACTCCAGAATTCTTAGATGTTACGTCTTTAGTGTGATCCTCTATGGAGTAGAAAGCTAGTGCCTCACAGAAGATGCCATAAAACGATTGGAGGCATTTGAAATGTGATGCTACAGACATACGTTGAGGGTCTCATATATACACCAGACAAGTAACATAACTATTCTCCAGAGCCTAGAAAAGACAAAGAAATTATTAACACCACAAAAAACAGAAAATTGGCTTACTTCGGCCACATCATGAGTAATGATAAATACCGACTTCTACAGTTGATTCTACAGGGCAAGATTGAGGGTAAAAGAGACCCTGGACTTAGACGTATATGTTGGTTGGCCAATCTTAGGAAATTGACTGGTCTAACCTTAACTGATCTATTTCGAGCTGCTGTGAATAGAGTAAGATGGGTCAATGTGGTCGGCAACAGATAGGCACATTTAGAAGAATACTCCAGTCACTCAGGTGACTCATCTCCCAATGTTATCAGACTGAACCGCCTCACTTGAAATTTGGTGAGTTGATGGTAAAGTGCTTAAATAACAAAAGTTATATAACGCCGATATGTGCTTTCGCCCCAGGGGTGGTTGCCACCCCTTCTCGGAAGTGGAAATTCTTTTGCTCAAAGTGATCACGGGTTCTGAGTTCTTTTTGTCATCAATATTCTCGTTTTTTATAAACTTATGTACCGTAAAAAACAATGGAGATATCACCGATTAAAATGTATACCTTGGTGTGAACACTCTCTACTTTGAGTGCTTCAACCCTTAATTTTTCAAAATTGAAAAACAGTTTCGCTTTCTAATGAACATTATATCCTTTCAAATGGCTTATATACATAGATCAAAACTTAAACATTAACTGATTTATTGAAGAAAAACCAATAATATTTTTGGGGGATAATTTTGGAGCTTAAAAAATATACGTATTTTGAAGTTACCGCATATCTAAAGTACGTATACCTAATAGTTTTGCAGATGAATATATCGGTACCTACAAAATATATTGAATGCTTTATACTGTTATTAGCATAGAGGGTAGTTACTAAGGTTTAAAAAGTTGCAGCAACCAAATAAATAATGTTTCATATGCAAGAAATAAAATTTTATTGATTTAAATACATAAGTTTAAAATTTTAATGTGTACAAAATTGTTTTTAATGTTATAAGTCTTCTTTAGGGGTTGAAGAATTTAAACACAAGAAATTTCGTTTCATAAGCGAGGAATGAATTTTTAGTTATCTAAATGGAAAATTTTAAACTATAAATAGGCTTTTTAATTATATTTTTCATCAAGGGATGCTTTCTAAGGGGTTAAAAACTTGAATCAAATGAAACATTATTTCATAAGCTACAATTCATAATAAATTGCTATTAATTTTAATTGATAAAGGTTTTGCTATTTATTTGTAATCTTTTTTTCGACACAGAAATATTATACAGCCTATTATTTTGGTTCCGAATAAGTAAGAAAAGAGTATGATTATTTTCGATGCTCCAATTTCAAAAATGTGTTTTTACCAGCACCAATTTTTTTTCAATTTATTAAACTGTGTTTTGTTTTTCAAAGTGTCAACTGTACGTAATATATCGTCCAATAATGAATCCTGTTTGTTCTTCTTTTTGCTTATTATTTACTAAAAAAATGGCTTTTTAGTAATACTTTTTCAATTCCAAATACTTTGATAGCCTTCTTCTTCTTCTTCTAATGGCGCTACAACCCTTTGTGAGTATTGGCCCTGTCGGACACTTTTCTTCGCCACTGCCTGATGGTTATGGTTTTAAGATCCTTCTCTACGTCTTCTATCCATCTTTTACGAGGCCTTCCGCTTGTTTTGTTTCCTTGGGGCTTCCATCTCTGGACTACTTTTACAGATCGATTATCTGGTATTCTTTCTAGGTGACCAAGCCAGTTTAGTCTTTGTGACTTTACAATTCTAACAATATCTGAGCTCTGCAGTAGTTCATCCAGCTCGTGGTTCTTTTAATTCTCCTTGAACCATCACTGCACTAGGTTCGTTCAAATATTTTCTCTAGTATTTTGTTCTTCCACTTATTTTTGAGTAGTAATGGATCTGCTCCACTCTGCTCCAGTAATGGATATGATCTTTTGTTTCCGTTCCATTTCCGTTCTTTTTGGTTGACTCCTTGATCACTTTCGTCACCTTTTTGTTCCATCCTTGTATATTCCACGTTGCACATATGAATGTTCTATCTTTTGTTCGTTTTGATTTTTGGTTGAGCTTTCATCCCCCGTATCCGATGGGGCTCAGGTGTAGATTTCCACCCGAGGATGTATTTTCGTATTGGGCTTTGTCATCTTGCGATTTTCGTTCTTCTTACCCTTACGTTTTTCTGTGTGTTAGGTTGCTAATTACTAACCCCACAAACCCCGTTTGGAGGACCTTTTCTTTAGCCGCCCATTCTGGATCAAACCCTCTTGGTTCTTCCGCCCTCTCGACCATTGTGACTTTTCCAGCCATCCTCTGATCTCGAGACCGTTGACCGGTTTTCAGCTGTACCCCAGGCAGGGGCCCACACAGGGTGCTATCAGCCGGGTCAGCCAGTTTTTTTTAGAGGTGTTACTCCTCTGACCCTCCTCTTTTATCCGGGCTTGGGACCGGCTGCGTCGGTTATAGAGCTACTCAATTCACCCCATACGAATCCAGCCAGAGTTGTATAGCTTTTTCAAGACCCAATATTTAGTTCTGATTTTAGCAATGATTCGTGCTATTCCAATATGTCCATAATGCTGATATACCAATGCAATAATATAATTTCCTATTTCTAATGATACTAAAATTATAGACTTTTTTTTTAAGTTTAAAATATTAATCCTAGCTTATATTTTATTTGTTTTGAAGATCACAAAATTGATCTTGCACTATTTCACTTTTATCAATTAAATTTACTCTTTGAATTAAATCATTATTTTTAAAATGTTTACCCTTTTGTAAATAATTTTTAAAATGGAGATAATTAAAAAAATAAAATCTCCAAGGATTTCGTCAGTTCTAGGTGTTGTTTTTAAATTTTCCAAAGGTTTATGATTAGAGCAGACTAATCATCTTTGATAGCATTAAATTTTATATAATAATAACAATAATAATAATAATGTTTATTTACTTTTTATTATACAATATAATAGAAATATTTTGTTCAAAACAAGTAGTTTTTAGCAAATAAACAAAGAAAAAATTCCCAGATGAACCAGAGGTTGTGCTCAGTGCTTCATTCTTCTTTTTAGAATTTTTAAATATATATGTGTTCCATTTTCTATATTTGGCGCCTTGCTCTTTTCTTACCTTTTCTTTACTTATTGATATTTTTGTTTTATCTTCGATATAACCAAATCGTAATTTGCGCCTCTATTAATTCTAACATCCCTTACGGAGGTTGCCCACCGCTTAGATAGTAATAAATATTATCCAGGTTCCTTTATGAATGTTTTTATGAGGGAAACACGTACTTCGATAGTCAATTACACGATAATATTTCAGTCAATTATTCAGTCAATATTAGTATCTAAGCGATGAGCAATCTCTGTAACAGATATTAGATCGTATAGAGGCACAAATTGCGATTCGGATAATTTCTTGGTCATATAGAAGATAAAACAAAGAGTAGCAATGGAAATAAAAGAGGTGCCAAACAACAAACAGGTATTTCCAACTATTAGTTTGAAAATATGGGCTATTTTATCGACGTTTTCAGTGCTTCTATGAAAAAAACGTATACAAAAACTTGTTTTTCCAACAATAGTTGTTGAGGATTGATTCCATATCACTGTTTCTTTTTCCGTATACATTTTTTCTTCCATATTCTTCTCATATATTTGCATGCTCGAATAATTTTTAAAACGCTTTCAGACTCCTAAAGAATTTAAGTTGATATCAAAATATCGTTTTAGATAAATACGAGTTGAATGATAACGCTAACTCAGTGCGTTTCTCAGAATTTGGTATGCAGACTGATGTAGAAAAGTTTATGGAATCAATTAAACCTAGGATATATCAACAAGCTCGCGAAAACACTGCAGATGACTTTAACGCTGCAATAATAACCGGAACATTATACGACCCATTCGAAGAAGAAGGTAAATGCTTTTATATTTTTACATTGTTTCATAATAGTATATTAGTAAATTATAAATTTTTGAATAATATGCATACATACACATGTGCATTATAGGGCCGCCTCTTGCTCTTCTTAATGCTGTCAGTCTGTTTGGAAACGTCATTATTAAATGATCACTAAAGTTTTAAGGTATCTATTTCACAAATTATTTGCAATCTATAAGCTAACTGATGTAAAGTTTGAGGTGGATATAGGAGTCTGGATATTTCGGCCCAAACGTCTTCGATACTTCGATTCACTCCATTCTTGTAATTCCATAATAATGGAATTACAAGAATGAATTTACAAGTTTTGGAAGCCCTATTGACTATGTTTGATTGCCCAACATTATCTTGGTCTCAAATGACATGCATCTCACAATTTTTTCAGATAGTTTGACTAGAAATCAACTTTTCAGTAACTTCACTGAAGAAGCTATTTACCCTTGACGCTGTGTAGGGTGTAAGAACCCTACAATTTGTCGGAGTAGAAGCAGAATATGTTACTTTAACTGCAAGAAATGGTCAGGTTCTGACACCCTTACCATAACCAAAATTTTTAATGTGTTTTTATGTTTTTCCAAAGAAATATTTTAACATATAGAAATAGCTTAAAGGAAAATTGTGGATTTTCATTTGTTCTAACTTTACCTATACCAAATTTATCTTTTGCAAATATGTGATTATATGATACGATCAATTTGGTAATGGTTTCTTTTTAACCCCTATTTTCAATATGTCTTAAATCTACGGAAAGTCGTCTACTTTGTCGTCTGATCATAAACCGATTGCTTTTCCTGTAAATCTATTATTTTATAATTATAAGCGAATCTTCTTTCGCCCAGTCCAATTAGTTTACCAAAACCAAATCAAGATTTAATATTTTAAGATCAGTGTGATCAGCAGAGTGCTCAGTCAAATCCATTTTTAATTTATTAGATTTTTTTAACAGGTTAAAGCGACTTCTTTGGAAGTGAGTAGTTATTTATTAGATGACATTTCTTTATTTCTGCTGTTGACGGGTAAATGAAACTGCTTTTAAAAACATAAAATAACACAAATATGACATGGTTTTCGATAAGTTTCTTTGTTAATTTGAGTTTCCTGTTCCTTATTAGGTTTTGTAGATGTAGGTAGTTTATGACATGTTGAATCAAAGAACCTTTTTGTTTTTTTTTTATTGTAAAATGAATCTTCCAAGTTTTTAAGATTTCATAGAGTTTTTCAATTGTGTCAGTATCTCAATCTACCTTTTCTAAACATAGTTAATTGAAGTTTAGAAAAGTTAAAAAACTAGTTAGATATAATTCACTGTTCAGAGTTCATATCTTTAATTTTTTATGAACATCTTTTTCTTGTATAACAATTATCCAATATATTTTTGCTGACTTGATAAAACTCTGAATCACCGATCGTTAATACATATCTGCACCATAAACACTGTAATTTATCAACATAAACATAAACAAATATATAAACACTGTAATTAATAACTCTTATCGGGTGAATTATTGCGAATTATGTCCTTATCAAAATATGTCTTCGTGTTAGATTTTTAATGTTATTACTACCAAGAACTTAAAACCAAGTAAGATAAAAATATTTAACAAATATTTTATCGCAATATCTTCACGCCACTATGGACAGTGACATAACCAGAGCTGAAATATTATCAAATATTGACGATTTTAAAATTCAATAAATACACCATTCAATTCAGTTGAACAATGTGAATGATTAGAAACGTACGTACGAAACTTATTATATTATGTCAAAATGAAATAAACGGTTGAATCGAACACAATCAACAAAACTTGTAAAGACGCGTCAATGTGGATGAATCATCCCAGTTGTACAACGAAGTTGAACAAAAGTACAAATTGGTACGACTCATTTCAACGTTCAATTTGGTTGAACTTTTTTATTGAATTGTAAAATACATGGTTCATTTGGGTTGAATCTTCCACATTGTTTTTAAGTAAAAAATATTAAATTGCCTAATTTTATTTTAAATCTAACAAAAATTTTGATTTTTCTGAAGATTATTGTGAAGATACAATTCAAATCATAATTGCTCTATTTACAAAACCTTTTATTAAAAAATAATGCCTTTTAGACTATTTTAAGTAGTGTCCAGATACCGGTTTTAGATTGGATGCAAGCAAGCAATTTAATTGAACCCAGCCTAAGAGACTTGAAATGACGTTCGGGTGTAACAATTCATTGGATCATCATCATCATCAGTGCCATTAAAGCTCGTTATGAGCCAAAGCTTTCTTCAGAACAATCTTCCATTCGCTCCTGTCTCTGGCAACTCTCATGCTTTAATTCTGATGGATTTTAGATCATCCTCTATGTTATCTTGATACCTAAATTTTGGTCTTCTTCTGGCTCGTCTTACCACTGTACTCTTCGGTCGATAATTTTTCTGATTGTTGCATCTTCATCTCGGATAATTACATGCACTATCCATCGAAGGCGTGCTAATTTAATACATTTTACAATGTCAGGTTCCCCAAAACTTCTGTATAACTAATTGTCCAAACCAGGGGCTTTGCTATTTTTCAGTTTTGAACTGGCTTCTCTAATTTCTTCTTCAGTGGGGGGTGGATCTTGAGCGTCTTCATCCATTTCAGGCAAAGTATTTTCTATTTGGTCTTCTTCACGAATGTCGCTAAGCAGTTCTTCAAAATGATTCGCCCACCTGTTTAGTATCTATTCTTTGTCACTAATTATGGAACCATCTCTGTCTATACATGCTGTTATTCTGGGTTTGAATTATTTTCTGCAGCTGTTTATCTTCTGTTAGAATTTTCGCGAGTCTTTTCCATTGTGGTGGTTAACAATCTCGTTTATAGCATTTTCGTATGGCTCTTTCTTTTTCCTTCTAAACGTCCTTTTTTCTTCTCGTCTAAGATTTTCATAGTTTTCCAGGTTTGATCTCGTTCTGCGCTGTTAAAGTCTCTTCATTTATCATTTATATGCTTCATTTTTCTGTTGGTTAATGGATCTACATTATTCGTCAAACCAATCTTCGTTTAATCTTTATGGATTCTTGTCAGCTCTTCATTTAAAATTTTCCTGTGGTTATCCCTAGAGTCTTCCGACTTTAGCACATCAGTATTATATTTCGTAGATTTTTTGCTCTGGCTCTTCTTAGCGTTTGATATACGTACCTTGCGTTACAAGGTAGTGATCAGAGTCTATATTAGCACCTCTACATGCTCTTACATTTGGATCATGAAAGGATTCGTTTCTGTTATTTTTTTTATTGGCTTTCACCTGTTTTTGTTAGTAGTTTTTTTATTTTTTGTTGGACAAAGCCGATTTTTATGTTTTTTGAGCCTGCACAGTGATTGTGGGCATTTACGTTGATAGAGCTACGAATATCCTCTGATTTAACATATTTAAGTTTATGCTAGTATCTGCTGTTTGGGACGTTTGTGCTTCCATCGATGGATTGCATCATACCTCATTATTTCTCGCAATATCTTACTTGGATGGTTTGTCAGTTCTGAGAATTTTGTCCTGGCTTTTTCCACAATCATATCAGTCACTTTGACTTGTTTTAGTTCTCTGAATAGAAAACGTTCACAGACGTATCTGGGTACAACGACTGCTTCTCTTAAGCTACTGTTGTGGGCTGCTGTTATATCATCTTCTTATTTGTTTTGCAGATGTGTCCCCATACGAGAGATGCGTATATTGATATAGGCGTTATGATGCTATTTATCAGTCTTATTTTAGATTTTATTCTTAATTGCGAGTCCTTTTATTGTCGCTTTTGCCATATTTGCTTTTGTAGTGTGACGTCTACATGTTTTTTGAACGTTAATCCTTGATCCATTATGAGTCCTAGGAATTTAGCAGTTACTCCTCTGGCTATTGCTGTCTCTTTGTAAAGAGCACTGCTTGCGTTTTCTCGGAGTTTATGGCGATTTTCCATTGTATGCTCCATTCTTCAATTACTGCTATGTTTAAAGGTCTGTACTTAGCCGATATAGCTGTATCATCGGCATATAGTGTTTGGATAACTTTTCAGATTGTGTTTTATATGAGCATTGAGCACTTATAACTATCTCTTTTTCAATCTAGTCGTGAAATTTTGGAAACAGCTAGTGCTTTGTGTTCAGCGATAGAAAAAAGCAGTTTTTTAAGCTCCCTCTTGGTTTGTGAAAAGATCTTAAGCATTACGCTTCTAGTATCCATATTTCTTTAAAGTGTTTCTTACAATTTCGTTAGTGCTATTAAATGTACCAAATATATGTTCCCTATGCTAGAATATTTAAGAAAAAATTCCGAAATTGAGTTTGAATTTGAAAAAATCTGTATTTCTGCTTCTAAATTGAGCTTCAAATTCCAAGGATTAATAAGAGACATACTTGTAGAGATACTCATCCAAAAACTTCAGTTAAAGAATATTTTAGAGCATTAACCATTCATTCCATATTTATACAATCTAATTTCTAGTTTAAAAGAAAGTTTGATTAACAATCAAGGTATGTTGATTGTATTTCAACTACTCATTACTGGTTTTGCATCTCCTGATAAAGCTAACCACTAAACAAAGCACAAAGCGATCTTCATATTTTGAAAATAAATGTTGTCTGGCAGAACTGACAGGAGAATATTTATTATGGTGTAAAAAATAAGAACTTTGAAGACTGATACAGAAAATTTGGAGCTTTTGGAGTTTTGTTACATTATATTAAATTACATTTACGTTATAAAATACATCTTTACAAAAGATGTCTTTTTAAGAAAGCTAATTAAGTTTTTGGTAGTTAAATGTTTACTTAATAAGGTTTTAAAATCACTGGAAATATTGTTATTTTGTCTGTTTACTGCATATTTTCCACATTTTGGTAACAGAAATGTTGTCGTAACAATATTCATACAATGGAATGTTTTCCTTAGTCATTGGATACTTATGCGTAATATTGGTATGACCTAATCAAAGTCGAGAAATTTTTACTTGGTGAGTTTTTAGGTTTCCTAGACGCCATAGTTTCACTGTCGATTTAATTTCTTTTAATATAAATATACAAGTTAAGCACTCTTAACAAACCATCCTCGATAACCCAACGTTTAGGTAGGATTTATTCCAATCAAAAGTTTCGTAAATTCCAAAATTTGTGTTTGACTTTTGGGTGGTACTTTCCCTCTGTGGACGTTGACTATAATTTCGGTAATTTTTTAGTTAGCTTGTTTGTATTATTAATAAGGCATTTACTTTAATTACAATTAAGTAAAAACATCACAAACCCTGAACTACCAAAGGTATCTGCATATCAGCCAAGAATATGCGTCCACTACTGTACATTAAGATATTTCCTACCAACGTCTTTGTCACTGAATATATGTCCCAGTACAGAGGAACTTATCTAAAATTTACCAAAACAATTAAAAAAATGAACTATCAAAATCGTCTAGAAAGCTCTAAAATGTTGCAAGAGAAACTTGCACAAGCTTGCTAAAACTAACACAGCTCAATAATCACGTGATTTTAACTCTTCCCTAGTTAGTCTATCTAGTATCTGAAAGACCGTATTATTCAGTAGAAGAGTTTCTTAACGAATAACTATTCGTTAATGAATAATTCTATTCTGTAATAATAGTTGCAAATATACTTTATCAAGGTTCAAGGTTTTTCAAGGTATTGTCATCATTGTTCTATGCAAGTATTTTTGTTAATGACCAACTATTTTTAGAGTCCGGCACGAAGATTGTCTTTACATGCTGTTATTCTGGGTTTGAATTCTTTTATGCAGCTGTTTATCTTCTGGTAGAACTTTTGCGAGTATTTTCTATTGTGGGGGTTAACAATCTCATTTAGAGCGTTTTCGTCTGATTCTTTCTTTTTCCTTCTAAACGTCCTTTTTTCTTCTCGTCTAAGATTTTCATAGTTTCCAGGTTTGATCTCGTTCGGCGCTGCTGAAGTCTCTTATATGCTTAATTTTTCTGTTGGTTAATGGATCTACATTCTTCGTCAAACCAATCTTCGTTTATTTTAGCTTGGTTAGGTTTTCAAAAAGCGTTTAGTCACTGTATGGATAGCTTTCTTGCATTTGGTACAGTGTTCTTCTATACTAAAATTTTCGTCGATTCTTGTCAGCTCTTCATTTAAAATTTTCCTGTAGTTATCCCTAGCATCTTCAGACTTTAGCACATCAGTATTATATTTCGTAAATTTTGTGCTCTGGCCCTTCTTAGCGTTTGATATACGAACCCTGAGTTTTATTCTTACAAGGTAGTGGTCAGCGTCCTGGTTATGTCAATGACTGTTAATAGAACTAATATATACGCCTTTTTTGTACTGAGGAGATAGAAAGGTTTTAAACTACTAGAGAAGGTGTCCCTAGTACTGTTTTATTCCATCTGGAGAGGAACACATACTAGTACATAGCATCCAAAGTATGGAAAAGTTTATTAAAAATAAAAGTAAATTAGAAAAGGAAAAGTTAATTTCCTGTTGTCGGCTGTATATCATATATAAAAAAAAAATAGTAAAAAAATCCTTTATAAAAGGTATATTTATTTAGAAGAACCCTTTCGAGCTAAATCACAGAACGCTTTTAGAATAAATATTCCATCTTCAGTGCTGCTGAAGATGGAATCTAAAATAAAGCTTTTCTAAATAAAGTGATTATTACTTATTCCAGGTAGTACTACTGATGATGGAATCGTCAATCCGAAAACTTTCTATGATGTAGTCCTAAAGGGTTCTTCTAAAGCAAATTAACCAGTTTACTAAAAAATATTTATTTTTCAGAGAACTTGTTTCAAGATTTGTGTGTTATAATTGGAGCCTTCCTAGCCACGTTCGCAGCTGTTCTGTTGGTATGTTTTTGTATATCGACAGGCTACGATGCATGTTCAAAGTGGTGTGACTTCTTGTTTTCTTTCCGAAAAGTCAGGAAAATGTTACCAGCAGCGGAAGAAGCACAATACCAACAAATAATAGAAGTTGAAGAGGATTGTGAGACCTATGTATAAACATTCCTTGAATTTTTCCTTTGGTATTTTTTATATTATAAAATATTTGTATTATTTTTTATAA